TGATGTCCTGTGAGAAAGGTTACGGTGACAATATGGTGTCTCTAAGAAAAGATGTGATAGGAAAGGTATTGGGTATTTATAAAGAGTCCTGTCCCAGTTTAGAGGTAAAAGAGTTAGTTATTGATCCTAAAGAACTAACCTATCCTGTGAATACACCAAGAGAAAGGACAGTGTATAGTGTAAAAGATATACTATCTGCTGTTGATAAGGGAGAAGAGTTTTTAGTAAAGTCTAATGGTACTAAAGGTGAAAAGGTGAAGGAGATCCTACCTGATGAATCGCTATCAGATATTAGTAACTTGTCACTATTAGGAGGACGTGATAGTAAGGTCAGGATTAACACACACAAACTATTTGATACATTAATTTAATATAAGCACTTAAAAATCAAAAGGTCATTTCTTAAAAGTAATTTATTTCTTATCAACACTTTTGTCATAATTTTGGGTTGTCATTGTGTGGCTTTTACTACTAATATAATATACATGTATACTTGTGCATCTGTTAAAAACTCACCTTTCAGTAATACATTAATCTGACTAATTGCACCTTGATAAACAAGTGCAGTGGCATTAATATCAGGGACTATTATTATTTTCGTTAGGAAGTGACAGAAATAACTGCAGAATTCAACACACCATTGACTACAATAAAGCTAGGTATGTAGTACATATTCTTATCACAATTTTCTAGTAGTAGGAGTGTAGGAGTAATATGTAGTGCATCGAGTGGGAGTGTTGTTTTATAATTTGCTTTATACAGAGTCATCAATTCAAAAATTCAACTCAACTACAAATTACTCACCCACACAGATCAGTGAGTCTAATGATGATCAAGAAAAAGGTATATATAACCACTGATAGTCTTGGGGCCAGCCCAGCCTTTTGTTATAATAATATTCTATTCCTACTAACCACTCACTGTGTCTAAATTCACGTTATTTATTGTTATAATAATTATTATCAATAAAAAGCTAACAATACTCACCATTTTTAGTAAAATCTGATGATAATAAAGTTGAAAAGGTGAAGGAGATACTATCTAGTGAATCATTATCAGATATTAGTAACCTGTCACTATTAGGAGGATGTGATATTAAGGTAACTGTTATTATTAACACTTATCATCATCATTTTTACAATAATTGTTTGTGTAGGGAAATGAAGGAATAAAGTCTTTTAATAATAAAAATATTATTATTGCTTTAAAAGAATCTCAGGAGCATAAAAGTACTTTAGTAGAGAAAAGACAACCTGGTAAGATGCGTACACATCATGCATTATTATAATTATTACACATTATTGTTATGCATAGCTATTGAGATCAATGATGA